AACTCCTTATTATTAAGGATTTATAATGGGAATCCTGATGTATTCTTAATCATTCCTCTGCTGCAGGGTGTCATTATGTGCAGTGATACTGAAGATAGCAGCCGTTTGTTTCTGTGCATCTTTACTTCATTGCAGGCTTTGATCTGAATCGCTCTATTGCTCCGTATTTGTGTTCCTTTGCTGTGTGCTGTGTTTATTTCCTCCTGCCCAGGGGTGCTGCAGAGCAGTGGTTTGAAGCTGCCCATCGGGGAAGGAGCCTCAGGGGGAAGCAGAAGGTCCTGACCCCTTTTGAGGTTTTTCTTTTTATATGCAGAGCTCAGAAAGAGATGGGCAACAGCCTGCAGCCCCAGAAAGTGCATCGTGGGGGGAGCTGAGCCTGGGGGCAGCAGCAGGGCTTGGAAGAGACCCCTGCTGTGCTGTGTGTGCTGCGGTGGTGGCGCTGACGGTGCCCCACGGTAGCAGGGGAGCAAAGCTCCATTGCATCTTGTTCTGCTTATGTGTAATTGAGAACAAGTCTGAAGTTGTTACGGGGATTTGGAGGGGAAGCACTTGGTTGCATGGTGCCCCGGTGTTAGCTCAGAACGCTGTGGGTTTTTTCCAGGATAAAAGCATCAGAAGTGTCTCCTTTGTGCACTGAGGCGTGCGTGGATCGTGATGGTGATGGTGTGCAGAAACGGGCAGTGCAGGGGCATGCGTTCCCTCTTGGAGCTGCTGTGGGGCTCTGCTGGGGACAGAGCAGTTCAGGCTTTGCCCATTCTCTGAGGGGCTGTGGGGGGGAAGCTCTGCTCAGAGCCCATCTGGGGGAGCAGAGCTGTGGAGCTCTGTGCAGAAGCTGCTTTCCCAGATGCTGACATGCCCATCTGTGTTACTTCTCATCCCAGGACAACCTTGCTGTGTCCTTGGGAATCACTGATGCTGCATGCGGAGACCAAGCACAAAAGTTGTGCTTTTGTATCTGTGGTAAATTAAGGGCTTTTCTGCAGTGGGCTTGTTTTTATAAACCCCCCTTGCAGAAAGCTCCTGTAGCACACAGATGACCCCAAACCAGGGTGAGAGCTGCACTAAGGGAGCACTGCTCAGTGCTGTGCTTTCTGAATGGAGCTCCCTTTCCCTGCATGCAAATGAACGGCTGCAGGCTGCTGCTACTGCATGAAGCCCTGCTTTATTTTGGTGACAAAAGCCCCCTGGCACTTATTAACCACCCTCTGTCTCTCTCAATGGATTTGCTGGCTCCAAACTTCAGTGGAGGGAAAAAAGACGGACAAATACAGACCCCACCATGGACCCCATGCTCCCACCCATCAGGACGGGGGGGAGGGGGAGGGGAGCAGAGCCCCATAGCATCAGTGCTGGGTGCAGGGCATCATTTTTGCCCCCTGTGCTGCGTGGCACCCTCTGCAGAACGCTGTCCAATGGGGATGTTTATGGGGCAGCACTTTGTCTCCTGCTCACGTCTGACCGCTGCATCCTGCTGCCTGGAGTGCTGTGGGGTGAGGAGGTATTTGCAGGAGGACCAGCTCCAGCATCCAGCTTGGCTTCTATGGGTCTTCTACAAACAAATGCCTCTTTCCCCCGTGAATGAGAACTCAGCTGCTCGGGGTGGTTTGTTTTAAGACAGAGCTCTGTTTTGGACTCAGTTCCAGTTGCTATGTTTCTGTGGCTGCTTGCCTGCCTGCGTGGAAGCACTCACCACTTCCCAGCCCAAGGGTGATGCTGAGCCGCACCCAGCTCCTTTCTGAGGACAGTTTTATTTTTCAGCAAGGCTTAAGCAAACGTGCAGATCTATCAGTGCTCACAAGCTCTCTGCAGCGTTGCACCTCTTGTTTTTTGGCTTTGCTGAAGGACTGTCTCCCTTCCTTTCTACAACAGCATTTTAGCTTTGCAGCGCTTTGTCTCCCTTCCTTGTAGGGCTGTTGCTTATGGCTCATGGGCCAAAGGAGCTTCATGGTGAAGATCCTCCTGCACCCTCCAGATTAGGAGTAACGGGCACGGTTGTATAAATCTCACAGAGGGATCCTGTGGTTTTATTTCTATGGGTGCAAAAGGAGGCAAATTAAAACACACAACCTGTTTGGAGATGGATGCGTGGTGTTTCAGTGGAAAAAAACAGGTTAAGCCAAAACAAATTGGAACTGAGTGTTCAGCGTAAAACCAAGTCTGAAGTGCAGCACTATATTTAAACACGGTATTTTTGTATTTAAATAATTAACCACTGGGAAAGAGCAGCCCAAAAAAAGCATTAGTGTGTGCTGTTTTCAAGGTATCCTCTCTTCCATCCCCATCTCAGTGCCACGGAGTGCAGCTGAGGACCAGGTGTGGAGGACAGGGATGTGTCCCTCCCCTGTTTTTGTATCTGTGCAGCTTATTCTTAGCACCTAGATGAGGTGGTCAGCCAGGTCTGTGGGCTGGCATTGGGCTTCGTGGCACAAAGGGAGGGGGAAGCAGGATTGCTTTGTGAATTGCAGCCCTTCTGCATCGCCCAGACTGTCTCTGGATGGACCCAGTGTTCAGCAAAGGGTGAACCCGAAAGGTGATCCTCTGCCGTGTGGTTCTTCCCCTGCCATTCAGCTTTACAGAGCACTGGGCAATCCCCTGCTTGTGAGGAAAGGCTGGTGGGGGTTTTGGTGCTGCAGGAGCACCTGCACGTCTTCAGCACGGAGCTGTCAGAGCTTGGGAAGCACTGAGCTCCTGCAGGGAGAGCAGTCACTGCACCGGGGGAGCTTGGCCTGGCTCCCACAGTTAAGCCTTGCTTTGGATCCAGCTATGGAAACAACCACAAGCAAAGAAGGAAGCAGATCTGTCGTGTCAGCCCGTGGTGAGGGCAATGCTTCCAGCATCTGCTGCTGCCTGGGCTCAGCCCAGGACTAAAGCAGGCAGTACCAAAGCCCTCGGTCTTATTTGGAGATGAGGTTTATTCTGCACCGTCCCACTATTTTCCTCCAGTATTTCATGACCTTTCTGTGCTGATGGTACATACGTGAAATTTCAAAGCTTTGCTGGGGCAAAAGCAGTTAAAGCAGGTGGTTCTGGCTGCAAAACATGAGACCCTCAGGCTGGCTGTCTCGGTAACATTCCCCCATGCAGGAATCGATGCTCTTCAGTTACCTGATGTCATCTGCAGGCTCGAGCAATGGCTGCTGCATCCCTCACACGTCCTTTGAGCTTCATCCCAAGTGATGAGAAGTGGAAAAGCTCTTCAGAGCTGAGCTCGTGGAGAGGAGCAGAGCTGATGGAGCCGAGGTGAATGCCAGAATGCCTCCAGTGGAGGAGAGGAGTTAGCAGGCATGGTTGTAGTCAAAGAAATACTCAGCAAAATCCAGTTATTTCCTCTTAAGCAGTTCCAGTTTTGCTGACCCCACACTTAGAGCTGCTGCGAAGTTGCTGATTTATGGAAGGGCCTTAAGTTGAGCTGAGAAACAAGATGATTATTTTTTCCTGCAGTTCTCAAAGCTGCATTTCTGGGACTTCCTTATTTTATCCAGCTTCAGTGACCCTAAATAGCCAGATGTGATGGGATGATGACCGGCTGTGGCGTTTGTGTGAAGGAGGGTTGGTGATGTGAGCATTGCAAACCGAGCCGCCCTGCACACGTTTCATGTTATGCTTGTCACTTAAGTGCCATCTTTGTCTGCTTGGAATTGGGATAATTTTGCTGCTTACGTGACCTCATTCTTTCTTATTGCATCCTTTGAGCTCCAAATCCCATTTCTTGTTCAAGCAGCTTGTGATTTCTGATGGAAGTTCTGAACGATTTGTCTCGTGGAAGCAAAAGCCATCGCATCCCAGGCGATCACATCCATTCTCCATCAGGATTCGGGGCTCTGGCCGCTCACCCTGCTGCTCCATCAGTGCCCCTCTGGCAGCGTGTGCTGGACCAGGAGGGCTGTACTGGAGATGTGGGTTGTCAGGAGCCTCTGCAGATGGGCTGTGTGCTGTTTGCCAGCCCTAACAGAGTCCAGCCCTGAGCTTTGCACTGCTGCTGCTGGCGCCTGGGGAGCAGAGGGTCCAGGATAACTCAGCCTCCATTCCCAAACCTGTCCTCAAAAAGGCCGGAAAGAAAAAGTTGTATAAGAGCTGAGGTTCATTTTGTTGCCCTGTGTGTCAGACTGTGCACCAGCTTTGTGTTCAGCAGCAAGCCTTGCAGGAGTGCTGGGCGGGGAGGTTTCTGTTTGGGAATGTCTCTGGGGGCTCTTTGTGGTTTCATTTTCTGCCTGGTTATGGATTGGAGACAGAGGTGAGCGAGCAGACCTGAGCCTCTCCGGGGTCCCATTGCTCTCTGAAAAATACTGGGCTTTCATTGGTCTGTGCTTTCAGCTACTAGAAATTCAGATTTGATGTTCTGAGCTGCGATTTATCAGATCAGATCTCAGATTCCATCTGAGCAGCATTAACCTGCTGGTTGTCGCTGCCAGCTTCCCAACTGGCACAACTTTAACTTTGTTTCCTTTGTCTTTTGCAAAGGCGTTCATTTATGTCCAATGCTAAAGATACCATTGCAGGCAGTGGTTTGTGCCGTGTCTTAATTGCATGTGCTTTGCTTCCATCCCTTGGTTTGCACAGAGATGGATGGGATTGTCTCTTGCTCCCTCTCCTGGGCAGCTGAGGCATTTGCCCCCCACGTTGCTTTTGCAAGCTTGATCTCTTTTCAAACTCCTTCTAGGCAAGGGAGGCTGTGTGCTCCTGAAGGTAGAGTTGAGGGCTTCAGGGACCCTGTTCTCCTCCTGAGGTTTATGCTCCAGAGGGATGGGTTTCTTGCAGCTGATGGTTTTCAGGCATGGGCAGGGGGCAGGAGGCAGGAGGGAAGGCTCTGTAGCATCACAACTTCTCTGCATCCCTTTGAGTGACCCACCAGTGAGAAGGGCTGTCCAGGCAGGGCGCTGTGCTCAGAGGCACCTTAATGGCCTCCCTGGATCCCTCTGGCTGCCTGTGGTGGGCAAAACCCTGGCACTGCCTTCCTGCTCTGTCAGTAACACAGCACGTGCTTCTTGTTTTAATTCCAGATTGAGAAAATCATGAGCTCCATTGGCGAAGGCATCGACTTCTCCCAGGAGCAGCAGAGGATCTCAGGTAGTGTACCCAGCTCGTGTGTGTGTGTGTCTTTGTGGTTTTGCCCAGAGCAAAGCTGTGTTCTGGCTGCTGTGACCCAACCATGGCTCCAAGAGGAATGGCTGCAGCACAGCTGAGCACATCTCTCCTTCCCTTCCCATCAGAGGGTGGTGAGGCACTGGAACAGGCTGCCCAAGGAGGCTGTGGATGCCCCAGCCCTGCTGGCATTCAAGGCCAGGCTGGATGTGGCTCTGGGCAGCCTGGGCTGCTGGTTGGCGACCTGCACACAGCAGGGGTTGGAGCTGGATGAGTGTTGTGCTCCTGTGCAACCCAGGACATTCTGGGATCCTATGATTCCCTTTTGTTGGCAGCTTCCAAGAGCTGGAGCAGCTCCTTGCAGTCCTTCCCTGCAGGTGGGAAGGGCTGGGTGCTGTCAGCTGCCTGGGACATGTTCTGTGCTATTCTGCGAGTCTGCAGCAATGAAGTCAGCTCCAGGGTGTGTGGCCCATGGCCTCTCCTCAACCTGATCAGATCCCCACTGGTGTTTGCTTGATGTGTAGGAGGGAGATCAGATCTTTTGCACGTACCAAAGGATTCAGTGCAGCTGAGAGGTGTTGTAAGGGCTCCAGCCTGCACCCAGGGGAGAAAAAGCTCTACTGATTGCCAACCTCCTTTAGTTACTGTTGTTCTCAGCAGAGCTGCTAAGTTGGACCAATTGCTTCCAGCTCTCTCCTGCCTCTCCAAATATGTTTGTCTTGAGTTTCTGCTCTTCTCTGCTGGGTAACAAAGAACTTTCTTTAAGCAGTTGCTCTGAAATGGAGCTGCTGCATGTTTGCACGTTGGCTGCTCTCACCACCCCACGACAAGCTCACTTTTGTTTCACATGCATAATGCAGCAGCAAGATGCTCATTTTTGTTACATAAGCGTGGCTCCGTCCCTTCAGATGTGAGCAGAACACTTGACAGCCCTCCACACACACGTGTTGTGTTCCTTAAGGCTCACAAAATGCTTTTGTTTAGAGGATGGGACGGGGGTTCTGTGCTTTGTGTCGGTGTGACTTACTGCCAGCAGCTTTTGGTGTCTGCAGCAGCTTTTTGTGTATTTAAGAGTCCCAAATCTGTTGTGTGGATTAGTCTTCAAGTCTCAAACCCAATGAGGAGGGGTCTGTTTCCCTTTCTTCTTCAGCGTTCAGGCCAAACAAGAGAGGAAGGAGCGTTTAATCTTCCAATACTGCCTGTACCCAGGTGCCACCCAGCCGTGACTCGCAGCAAGGTGCAGTAGGTGGCTTTTACATCCACATCCCAGCTCAGTCACAGCCTGACGTGGCACTCAGCCACATGCAGTGCAGCCCTGGGTGCTGCAGCCTGAGTGAGCTGCTCCAGGGAGCAACTAAAATTAGCCACCAGGAGGTCTGTCATCTGTGCAGTGCATGGCACAGCTTTGTGTTGGATTAGGAGAAGAAAAATATCCTGATTGCAGCCTCCTGAATGTCTTAAAAGTCAGCACAGAGGGAAGCAAAACCAGCCCTGTGATCAGGGTTGACATGGGCTTTGGGGTTGTTTTCTCCCCCATTACTGGAATTTTGCTGGAATATTTTTAGGCCTCTTTGCCAGCTTTCCACCTGTGGAACTCCAGGTGCCCTGTCATTGCCCCAGCAGACACAAGACATCATTTCTTGGTACATCTCTTACCTCCGTGCTTCCGTGACCTTGAAGCACACGGCTGTATTGGTTTTATTAATGGTGCATGAGATGGTGGGGCTGTGCCTTTTGTCTTTGCCGTTAGAAATTTCCTTGAGCCAAGGTGAGGGAGGGATCCTGGTGTCATTGAGCGCATTGATTTTCCTCAAACAGAGCAGCATCCTCCTCCAGCAACTGTTATAACTCTTATCTCCGCAATGCAGCATCGGGAGATGATCCCAGGTTAAAACACTTCCATTTTCATAAATGTTGTAAGTGGAGGAGGTTGAGGTGTGGGGAATAGAGCTGCTTGCCCTGAGTTTGGGTTCAGGATGCAGAGCAGCTGTCAGAACCAAGTTGATTGAAAGAAATGTTCCTCCTGCAGTGGCCTTATTGTGTGTCCTGGCTCCGCGTGCCAACCAGGAGCCTTCTGAGCTTCCGTCTGCTTTCACCCAACGTTGACAACGCTTTTATCCCATAGTTTTTGTTCTTTCTTTTGAGGAAAGCACATAGGAAGGGGAAGTGGGACTGATGGAGCCCTGATGTTGGTGCAGATGTCCCTGGATGTGCCTCTGTCCCATGCAGAGCAGCCCACCTCAGTACTTCTACATGGCTGAGATGCTCCTGAGGATTAATTCTCTCCCCAAAATGCAGCTTCACTCTGGAAAGCAGCAGCTGGTGATGAATTTGTTCCTTCCGCTGCTGCGGGCGGAGCTGTGAGTCCTCAATGTATGGAGTGATGCTGGGCTTCAAAGGAGGAGATAATTGCTTGGCTTTAATGGAGCCTTTGAAACGCGGCTGTTTGGAGTGAGACACGGCGAGCAGAGCTTGATTAAATGGATGCTGGTGAACTTTGCTGTCTGGGGACCGAGGGGGACTAAATATCGTGTACTGCTCAAGGGTTGCAGACAACCCGAGCCTTGAAGATGTTGGCATAGGAAATGCTTTTTGTCAGTGAGAGCAGTTCAGTGGTGGCAGAGCCGTCCTTTGGGACACCAACCTCGTGGCACCGTGCGAGGAGCCTGGAGCTGCTCTGCCTGCCCGGGGCCACAGCCTCCTCCAGCTGCTCCTGGGTCTCTCTGTGGGATCTTCCTCCCCATCACTGCTGGAGCAGGGCTGGGCAAGTTCCAGCTGCAGGTCAGTGTGGCTGTTGTGCTGGCTGAGTTCTTTGGATGGGGTCAGTCTGCTGTGCTCACAGATGTGGGCGATGCCAGGCTTTTCCAAGCACAGCTGAGGTGCTGCTATGCACTAAGCAAGGCTGCCTGCAGCAGAGGTTTTTCCCCTGTACTTGATGAATGAATTCCTCTCTCTGCATTTAGTCAGAAGCAGAGACAAAAGCAGAACTCGGCTTGTTTGTCTTCCTGTGGTGTGATGGAGGACACAGGAGAGCTGCACCACCAGGGACTCTGGCCTCCTGCATCTCTCACCTCCAAACTGCTCCGAGTGGGCAGCATCTCCCACTGATGAGATGCTAATACACATCTGCACATGCAGCTCACGCCTGCTGAGTGCAGCTAATCTCGATCCATTTGTCACTTGGGCTTTTGCTTTGGTGAGGAGGGACCCCCGTGTGCCCGCAGCGGGGCGTTAACCCATGCCTGCCCTAAATGCTGATCAGGGCTTTATGTTTCCCAGGGCCACGGGGCTTTGCAGGGGTGCTGTGTGGGGTTTGGTCCAGTCCAACGGCAGCTGCTCAGCACCCAGCGTGCTGCCAAGCCCCCTGCTCTCCCCACCGCGGGCTGTGGCTGTCGCAGCGCGTGTGATTGATCGATATCATTAGGGAAGAGGTCTAACATGGAGGGGAGAGGAGGAGCTTTGCACCTCGGCAGAAGCTGCAGCTGTGCAGAGTTCACAGCAAAATGGACACCCGGCTCAGCAGCAGGCAGAGCCGTGAGCTGCCTGCTCCCTGTGCTGCCTCGTGCTCAGGGCTGCCCTGCATGCAGATCTGCAGCCGTGCTTTCCTTTCCATTGCAGTGAAGGCAGGGATGCTCTGCCAGCCCCTTGCTGTGAGGTCGGAGCGCGTCCTGCCCTGCCCACAGCCCAGCCCTTCTTTTTTCTGGCATCGTTTCGCTTTTGCTGCTCAGAAGTTTGCAAGGGCTGTTCTGATGGATCAGATCGCCTCGCTAACGTGCAGGGAGCTTCCCAACTGCGCTCCCATCTCCAAAATTGGATGGGTTTTGAGAACACTGGGGCTTCTGACTCGTTTTGTGCCTGGGATCACTGATCTGCTTGTAGAGGCTCAGTGCCTTGTTTGGCAGCTGCTGCAGAGCTCAGCGTGCTTGGGTGTGTGCATACAAGTGGTTGTCACATACAGTTGCTTTGGATTTAGGAGAAGCAGGGGACCTTGGAGTTGTGCTGGGATGAGTGCTGGCCCCCGCTGTGCCCCTTGCAAATCCAGGCAAACTTCTGCACCCCTGGTTCCTCTTCTGTAAAATGGCATAACAGAACCACCGCTCCGTCCCCAAACCCTTGCTGTGTAAACCCAGTCATCTGGGCCAACAGGTACAGCCCCTGATTTCCTGCTGGAGCACATGAGGAAGCCTTTCAGGTGTATTTCTCCAGCTGAATCCTGATGGTGGGGAGGTGTAGGTGAGGGGGAAGGCGGTCCATCTGTTGTGTGTTGGTAAGTGCTTCTGGGATGATAAAGGATCGAGGAACAGCATCTCTTAAGGGGTTCTTAACCCTCACCCTAAAGGTTTTTTTGACCTGGGAAGAGATGTTTGCATTCAGTCTGTCTCTGTGCACCTCTGCTTTGCAGTCGCACGTTCTATTGAGCTCCTGCTCACCCCTTCTTCCTTGCAGCCATGGGGCACTGGGACAGGGGCTGCTGGCTTCAGCAAGGAAACCTGTGTGCTGCTGACTGGGCTTCATCAGGCAGCATTCCTGTGCTCAGAATCGAGCTGAGTGGGTTGTGCTCTGCGAATGGGCCTGGTGCAGGCAGAGGTGTTGCTGCAGGGACAGCAGTTACCTCTGGGGCTCAGTGAGTTACCTCTGCACTTGGCTTGAGACGTGAGAAACATGCCTGGAGTTTGGCTGGGCAAAAGAGGAAGAAATATTAGCAGTCTGCCTTTGGCTAATGGATTTTAGTTCCAGTAAAGTTGTATTTCTTGCATCTGACAGCACTAATGGCTTCATCCTTCTTGCCTCATGCACTGCCTGAGCTCGTAGCCCCATCTGTAGGTTTAAGGACTTCCAGCTCTCATCAGCCCCAGCTGTAGCAACAAATGCCTGCCTTGCTTCTTCTGCACGTTGTCTGTGTGTGTGGACGGCTCTTCTGTCAAGGCTGGCTTGGTTTTGCAGCCTTTTATTCCTGGTGAAGCTTGGCTGGGTGCCCTCAGACCACATCAGGTTGTGCTTTGTGGGCTTATTCCTTCCTCAAGGAAACAGTGAGGTGTAAAGAGACCTTCCTGAGCCCACCGTGCCCCTGTCCCTTCACTGTTTTCTTTGAGGTGTGCTTTGTCACCTGAGAAACGTTGTGAGAGGAACCGAATTGCTTGCCTTGCTTTTTACTACTACTTTTAATTATTTCTAACTATGTTCTGCCCGCTGTTCCCCTTCCACAGCATTCCCTGTGACCTTTTAAAGGCAGGATTCCTGAAATTTGGAGCGGGAGGAGGAGGAAGGAGCTGGGTTGGCTGAGAATGAGCCGTTGATTTTAATCAGAAGTTGTGATCAGGCTCTTGCTGGGGGGCACGGAGGCTGGCAGTGATCTGCTCCCGTGTCATCCTCGGAAGATGCACATCTCATGGACTTCTCTGGCTTTAGTCAGGGATGTCCAAGGCATCTGTTCCCTTTTTCTTTGTACAGTTAACCCCTCCATTCCCCTTTCCAAACAGCCCTGTTCATTTTGCCTTCATTTGGAGTGGTTTCTAAACCAGAAAGCCTGAGCTTGGCGTTACTGCAGATTTTCTCCTTTAAAAGCAGAAATACGTTTATGAGTGTACAAAAGGTGGAGTAAATAATATTTTTTTGAAGCAAATTCAGGAGCTGAGGGGAAGGAGCTGCTGTGGTTTTGTTCCCCCTTGCCAACACCCCGACTGCCTCCAGAAACGCCGTGGTGCGCAGCGAGCCGTTCCCTCGCCTCCCTCTCAATAAATTAATTCTCACGCAGCCACAAATCACTTGGAACTGTCAGAGCAGCCCTGTAACATCGCTTCTTTCAAAACCCGAGCCGTGCAGTCCGTCACCGAGCAAACACTGAGAAGTCAGTCATTTCCACTGGAGGGTGATAAAGCTGCCGTCTCCCTCCCCTCTCCTGCGGCTTCTGCTGCGAAGGCTGCTTGCTGGATGGAAAAGCTGGGAGGGGTAAAAGAGGATGGAGAGAAGGGAGGGACAGGCGATGCGAGAGCAGCAGACAGGACTGCGAGCGTGGAGCTGGCTGCCTTCAGACAAAGCACTGCTGCAGCTCTGCAAGGACACGCGATCGCTGCCGGCTGCCTGCGCGCCGGGGGAACCCACAGGAGGGAAGGATGGAGAGCCCAGAGCTCAGCACGGCAATGCCAGGTTTAAACACTGCCCTTCTGCACAGGCTGCGCTAGGGGAGGAAGACAGCGGCCCTTGGTGATCTCTGCATCTCTCGTGCTGCAGCTGTGCTAGGAGGGCTGGCCGCTCTCCCGACCCCGGCTCTCCCGGAGGATCCCTCACCCCAAGCGTCTCCAGGCAGCGCTGCGAGCTCCACACCGTGCAGCCATTGCAGTGGGCGGGGGTGGAAGGACGGCTCGGAGGGTTCCACACAGCTGCAGGTGACCTGAAGCTTCAAAGGAAGCAAACTCGGTGTTGGTTGGTTTTTTTTTTCTTTTCTTGATCATCTTTTTATTTGCATATACCCTTGAAACACAGACGTGCTAAGCAGACTGAAGAAAATCCTGCTGTCTTGCATAGCAAATGCCCTGATGAGAAGGAGATCTCTGAACTTTTCTTGTCATCTCTTAAGCTTTTCCAGAGGAGAGTAACAAGTCCCCAGATTTCTCTTCCCAGGGGTGAAGGAAGGAGAGCTTGTCTGTAAAGCTGCTGCGGGCTGTTGGGAAGATCCTCATTTACCAGAGGCTGCCAGGAGCTGCTGAGGCACATCTCAGACTTGAGCTGCTGCAGGAGGAGCAGAGGGTGTGCTCGCTCTTGGTCTCTTTTTGTTTGGCCGCGGCTTGGAAGCAAGGAACTGAAATGCCTCAACCTCCAGAGCTGCTGCCCCTCTGAGTCAGGGGCTCGCATGCAGCAGCCGCGCTCAGCTGCAGAACATGACGGAAGGGCACACAGCAGCGTGCACCAGGCAGCTGCCAGCACTGGGGGCACCGGTTCCTCTGCCCTCCTGGCTGTCAGCCCACGTGCAGGTGTAGCTGGGCTCTGCCAGCCTGGCACGAGCAGCGTGCCCAGGTGCCATCGTCCGGATAGGCGGTGACATGACTGTGTTGGGACCCTCGGATTCGTGCTCGGGGTCGCTCTCTCCTCTGCTCCTCCTAACGCACTAATGGAAAGAAAAAGCCCTTACCATGGTTTGCCTCTTTCAGGACTGCTTGGGGAAAAAAAGTAAAAGCCCTTCTTATCTTCTGCTGCAGTTTGTGTGCTTTCTTTGTCTTGCATGTCTTCCTGCGGACAGCTGCTCTGGTCTGGCTTCTGCTGCTTTCCTGAACCTCCGCCGTGTGCGTTCTGTGTCCCGGCTGCATGAAGATGCATTTTCTCTCTAGCTGCTTTGTGCCCTCACTGCTCCTGGCCCTCCCTGCAGCCCCGCTGGGCAGCGCAGCGCACCCAAAGCCACGTGGAGCAGAGGAGCCACACGGTGCTGCGCGATCCTGAGCGGCGCTCCTGGTTGTGCCCAGCGGGGAGTGCGGGGCTGGAAGTCGGCCGCCCTCCTCCCGCCCCTTCTGATGAACCAAGGAGAGCACCAGCATCCCCGTGGGGTTGGGCTTTGTGTGTTTGCCTGGCGAGGAGCTGCCCGAGCCCTGCAAGCAGTGCACGTGATGACGTCCTGCTCCCAGGGCGCTTTGCTCGGGCGCGGGGTTCCTTTCTCTGAGTGCTCACTGGGATACAATTAGACCCGGAGCCTTTGGATGTGCTGGAGGCTCGTTGTCCGTGCTCTGTGCACACGAGAGGAATTGTCTGCCAGCCCATTGATTGTACTCTGAGCATAATTTTTTGAGTTTCCTTATGGTAATGACTATGATGTGGCAATGCCATCTGTCTTCCTCAGAGTGCCGCTGCTACCGCCTTAACAGTTTTTCCCTTTTCAAGCGTCTGCCGATTCCTCTCTCGTCAGGTTCTCGGATGCTGGAGCAGAGCGTGGGGGAGTGGCTGGAGTCCATCGGCCTGCAGCAGTACGAGAGTAAGCTGCTTTTGAACGGCTTTGATGATGTCCGTTTCCTGGTAAGTGGGCTGGGACCCGCGGGCCGATGTCGGGATGCTGGGTCAGCCCTGATGCGGGTTCTGCAGCCCAGCAGGGTGGGTCTGGGGCTGCACACAAGGTTGGACCGAAGGAGGACGTGAGGGTTGTGTTGGTTCCTCCCTCTGCGCCGTTGGTTCCGTTGTTTCTGATACAAATTTGATTCTACCGCCTCAAATCCCCGCGATGTGATTTGCTGGAGAAGTTGGAACTGAGGTTTGTTGGTGTGTGAAGAAAGCAGCAAACTGCCTGTGCTGGGGGTGGGAGAGCTCTTGTTGGAGGTATCCTCGCTCTGAGCGGGCCTCAGGGCTTGATGAGCTGCACCTGATTGCCTTGGCACTGCTGGCTCTGAAACCTAAGGGTGAGAGCAGCCCCATGTTTCACATGGTGGGACAGAAACAGGGCCGGGTGCTGAGCTCAGATCCTGGTGTGGGACAGCGAGCTGGGAGTGGGAGCAGCCCCTTCTGTGTGGCTTAAAGAAACGCCTTTGGGTTTTGCAAAAGGAATTGCTGAAGCTGGATGTGAGCCTTTGGATGGGCCGCTGGGGGCTGTGTTGGGAAGGGAGTGGGGGCATCTCTGGTGCTGTGGGCGCACAGAGAGGAGGTGCCTGGCTGGGGGCACGTGGTCTGGAGCTGTGATGGGGGCAGCGAGAGCACCGAGGGGTGAGGATGAGGGGATGTGGGGAGCTCCCCCCTGTTGGAAACCAGCAGCCACTGACTGGTGAAGGCGTACGGGGTGGCTGGAGGAAGGAGGGAAGGCTTGAGGTGCCCTGAGATGGTGCAGTGACTTGAAATGAAGTACTCCATACCTGCCGTGTAGCTGACAGAACTTTGGCTTTCACTGTGCCAGCAATTAGCTGCTCTCATTGCAGCAATTAGCACCTTTCCCCTGGACCGGCTCTGCCCACCAGCGTGCTGACAGTCCTCAGTGCAGGAGTTGAGTAACAAAACTTTCCTTTAGCCCCGGGAGAAGCGGAGCTGGGGGTTCAAGCAGGTTGTACAGACTGTGCCCGCTTGCAGTGATAGCAGTGCTCAGGCATGGACTGCATGAGGCAGAATTTCAGCACGAGGAGGTGGGCTCCTGTCCTTCCAGGGGTGGGACGCTCTCCTTTGCTCATTCCTTTCCATTTTAAATGGTCAAACCATTGACTGAGGATTTCCTGCAAGCCCTGGCTGAGTTCCTCTTTGCTGTTTATCCTTTTTACTTTGGCACCCATGTCAGATCTGCCTCTTGCATCCCTTTATCTCAGTCCTCGGGACTCAAAGCCAACGCATGGAAGTTTAATTCTTCCAAATCCCCTCAGCAGTGTGCCTTCCCTTCGGCGTCTGATGTTGCAGGAGTAAAACCTTTGCATACAAGCAGGGAACAAATCATCTGCTTGTTTTTAATGCTGGTTTTGATGCTCTCTGATGAATTATTAAAGCTGCCTGGTGCTGTGAGCGCTGAAGGATGCAGCTGCCAGCACCCACTGTGTTGGTTTGTCCACCCTTCCTTTTTAATACAACAGTTTCTTTATGAACTGCTGCTTTTGGTCACTAATGATTATTTCAAACTAAGTGGTGTTATTTTTCTGGGCTTGGTTTCTGTGAAAGGATCAGTCCCTGTTAGGGCCTTGGAGAACGAAGCTGGTAAGAGACAAGCAGTGGAGGATGCAGGAGTTTGCCTTCTCTTTTTGGGACCTTATCCATGAGCTGCTGTATGAGGTCAGTGCTTCCCCTGGCAGCAAACCTCGAGTTCTGCTGCAGTTTGGGGCTGCTTTGGTGACAGCAATGGCCACAGCAGGACTGACTCCTCACAATGCAGCTCTCTGCTGTCTCTCTGTGGGTGGGAATTTGGGGTGAATACAAGTATTGCTTGCAACACCCACTGATTCTGAGCAGCCTGTTCTTGTTAGGAATATTCCCACTTTTGGAACTTGCAGAGGCTGTGAGTGCAAGTGAGTTGGTGAGCAGGGAGGAGCAAACCAACACCACCAGGATAAGGAGGAAGGGCACACTGCTGTGAATGCATCAATGCAAGGAATGCATCCTGCCTGGCCACCTGGGTGCTGCAGGCGGGCTGGGTTTGCAGCACTGCCCTCCCCATGCTGTGCTGTGTTCCCCTCTTAAGGCAGCTTCCCAATCAGTCTTCCTGTGATGTCAAACTCCAGTTAAGGCTGTAAAACAAAACTGAGTGCTGCAGTGTTTGCTGTGGACACACGAGAGCATCTCCCCAATTGGATTCAGACAAACGTGGAATGGCTCAGAGCAAACAATCCTGATGGGCACTGACTGCAGTTGGAGTGGATATCGCTGCCACAAGGCAGCAGCGTTACAGGGGTGTCAGTTTGATGTGGTGCTGGAGCTTCTGGGAAGGAACAGAAGCGACATTTGTTGCAGACAGAATGTGGTTTTGCTTCTGGACTGAGGGAAGAAATAGGCTGCACTGAAGGAGCTCCGTTTTCTAAAAGACCCGAGTTCTTTCTGAACAGTATGGTCTGCAGACTGGAGCTCTTCTGTTCCCCTGCAGTGGCTTTGTTGTGGTGTTTCTGTGCAGCAGCTCCTTCCTCTCCTGCTCTCCATCGCTGCTGAGTGACCTTCAGTGCCTGCACTGCTGCTCAGGGTGTCCTGGTTGTGACACCAAACTTCTGCTTTAGTTTGGGGAGCGGCCTGCTTGGCCAGCTGGGGATTTAAGGCCAGAAAATGGAGGTGATGCTTCATCTCTGCTTTGCAGCTTGCTGAAGCCCTCCTTAGAGGGGAAGGATTTATTGGTGCAAACATAACTGAGTGAAAGCTGCTGGCTGCGTGTTGCCAGCAGTGGCCGTGCTGTCCTTACCAAAATGCAGGGAGAGCCCTGCCCCTGCGTGGAGGAGCACAGCCCAGGGCTTCCAGGGGAGTGCAGCCTCATCGCCTGCTGGAGGAGCAAACAGAAGGTCAGGTCACAAAGCTGCAGCAGCGAGCAAGCAGTGTCATCCAGAAAAACACACTATAAATCGATTTAATTGTCCTTGACTGCTAATGAACTGGGGGGGGGGGGGGGGGGGTGAAAGAGTAGGGAAAATGTCAGTGGAGTGTGAGCTAAGAGGGCTGCCATGTGCTGTGAGCAGCAGGAGCTGCAGTGCTGTGCCTGGGGTGCATGGAGCTTCCCAGTGCCCTGCTGGGACTGCTGTGCTGAGGGCACTGCAGAAGCAGGGAGGGAAGCGCTGTTCCCTGCAGTGCCAGCGATCCATTGGATCCTGCAGATCGAGCCCAGATGCTGGTAGAAGCCCTTCCCTCCCCTGGGAGGCCGGGTGCTCAGCCCTGGGATGGCTCTGCAGGTGAACTTCTTCCTCAGTCCGAAGGCATTCTCGTTCACAGGAGCAGGTAGAGGGACGTCAGCCACTTCTCGTGGCTTTTTGTTGTTGTTCAAGCCTGGATTCCCACAGAGGGTGCAGAAAGCAGCTCATGCTGATTCAGTCAGACAGCATCAGGAGCAGAAATCTGTTCTCATGCACTGCCCTGGGCACCTCTGCTTTTGTGTGTGTGTTTCTTTTCATGATCGGGGAGAAGTGATCAAATTATGGCAGCGCTGGGAGAATGGGGTGTTTTTACAGCTTGGGGAGCTCCAAGCCCCGTTACGTGGCATTGTCTCCTGCTTATCACTGCCACCAGCATGCTGGAAATACATTGCATTGCTGCTTCCCAGACTGAATGAATGCCCCTCAGAGCAGAACGGGACCCTCATGCAGGGATTTCTGCCACGTGTCCGAGTGGGAATGGCTTCATTCAGTGCAGTGGATTCTCTGGCAGCTCTGCAGTGTGTCTCAGATGCTCCCTGGGCAGCTCTGAGAGCCCTGCTTTGTCTTTGTGATGGTTTCCTGTTTACCTCTGGAAGGTGTGGATGTATTCACTCTGTGGCTGAACTCCCTGCTGGTTCCAGAAGGATTTTGGGGAGCAAAGTGGGTGAAGCAGGGCTGGCAGTTTAGAGAATGCTTAGATGTGATTCATGAGCAGCTCCTGGCCCAATAAACATTTAAAAAGCCATTAAAGGAGCGGTTAATTTTTTTCCCTTCTCCATAAAATTGCCCAGATTTGACAACTGTGACCGATTCCCTCCGTTGCTGCACTGCCAGCGTGCGCATGGGGCAGAAATGGAACAAAAATGCAGTGCACTAATCTAGGATTTTTATAGGAGCCCTTTCTGCAGTTGTTGCTTTGGGAAGCACTGGGACCTCACTGGTCTGCCCTCAGCCAACTGGGTGCTTCTCATCCCCTCGTTTCCACCATGCTCCCTCAAACAGCAGCCACCAGTAAGGGCAGGGCAGACCCCACAGGCTGCTGGCAGACATATATTCCTGTGGCCAAGCACTGCTGTTTCCCCCTTGGCTCTGAGATGGGGCTGTGAGGGGGCTGGATGTGGGGTCAGGGGGAGATGTAGGGCTGTGGAGCGGGGCTGGCTGACCCCAGGGCTGGAGGTGCTGGGCAGTTCTGGGCCCCTTGGCTGTGATGCTGTGCTGACGCCGTGGGTGAAAAGCCCCACGGTGCAAACCGTGTGCTTGTGCAGATGGAATGCAGGACAGGCTGGAGGGTTTGCTGTTGGCGCAGCATGAGCTGCTCTCGCCCTGTCAGCAGGACGTGTTTGCTCCGAGTGCAGCCCTGCACGGCTCCCGGAGCTCTGAAGGGGCTGAGCCCAGCCTGCACCTCGCAGACAGCGCAGGGAAGGAGGGCACTTGGTTTCATTCACCCCTGGGCTCCTGGGCAGCTCAGTGCCTCTGTCAGCTCCCCGGATGCCCTCACTTAGCTCAGTTTTGCTGCCCTCCCTCACCCTCACCGCCCTTTTATTTAACAGGAGAGCTCAGAGTGTGGGGTCGAGCCTTGGCACGGGCTGCGTGTTGTCCCTGTTCAGGCTGTGTCTCCAGCTCTGTCTCCCACATCCAGACTCATGTAAAACAAAAGCAGTGGCAGCAAAATCCTTGACAAGATGCAAGCTGCCTTGAATTTACTGAGAAGGAAAAAAAGAAAGAGCTTTGTGTGCATTAATCTAAGAAAAATGGATGCTTTGGCTCGTCCAGCTGAAGGCACTCTGCTATGGATGTTTGCTAGTCTGGAAAAGCTGTGTTTGGGTTTTGCATCTGTTGCTTTTAATAGCAAACACGTTCTGGTCCCAATCTTCCCCACAGTTGTGTCTGGAATACGTGGGTTGGTAACAAGGCAGCTCTCCTATGAGTCGGTTGGGATTCATTATGCTGTGCTGCTGGCTGGGGAGGACTGCATGTCCTATACGGAACTTTCTTTGCCTTGGGCCCTTCCTTAGCTGGAAAGAGAGAATGGACCGAAGCCAGGCTCTGAGTAAGAAGCAGCATCTGAAAATTGGGTAGTTAAGCGCCCGCAGAGTGCCCTGCTGGAGCAGAGATGCTGGCAGATTTCAGAGGCTCTGATTTTGGCATGTTCCCCTTTAGGGTCACCTAGCCCACACTGCGTCACGCAGCGTAACCCCTCTGACTGTGTTTTTTTCCTTTAATGAGAAACCTGGAGTCTTGCAGGCTGCTTAATTACAGCGCAGGATGCGAAGCGCCGTGTCCTGGAGCAGAACCCTGCTCCAAAAGCTGCTTCCTGGAGGTGGACCAGGCGAGCAGGTGGGCCCTGATGGAGGGGGCCAGGCTGGATGGGCAGCCTGACTGGGGGGGGCACCCAGCCCATAGCTAGGGTAGGGTTCTGGGGGCTGTAAGAGCCTTTTCAACCCAACCATCCCATTGCTCTATGATCCTGAAGGTCCCTTCCAACCCAACCGTTGTATGGTGCTGTAATCTTTGAGGTCCCTCCCAGCCCAACCATTCTGTGATAACCTGGCACCCAGACTGAGGGTGGCACAGCACCGTGTCCCATCCCATCTCTGCCAGGTTGGAGCTGGGGGTAACAGAGAGGTCTGAGATGGGGAAGAGTGCAGGGCGAGCCCTGGCCCCGTGCTGCGCTCAGCCTGCAGCCTGCACAAGGTACAGCACTTGTCACAACCAATACAGTCTCAACTCTGTCTTCAGAAAGTTTTCTTGATTCCAATTGGCATTTCTGAGCCGGGGAGGATCCGGCTAGCAGCACAGAGGTCCTCACAGCTCCCCTCCTCCTCTGCTGCAGGCGTTTGTCCTTGGAGGACCCAGACCTGGGTTCTGAGCAGCAGGACCATGGTGCTGGGGAGGTGATGTCCAACCTGGGCATGGGGACTTTTGGCTGCTGGTAAAAACCAACCCACAAGAAAAACCACCTTGTTTTACGATCCCGTTTCTAAAATCCTCTTAACCCAGCAGTCCTCTGAGATTCGTGACTGAAACCCAACAGCTCAGGGGGCTCCTGGTGCTGCAGGTGAGCCTTGGGAGCATGGCACTGACCCAAGCCCTGGCTGGGAGGCAGGGAGCACTGCGCAGAGGACCTCAGCTTTGTCTGCAGGGCATGTTAAATGCACACAGCCTGAGAACAAAGCTCAGCTGCTCTGCTGGCAAAGGTTAAAAGATCCCCAGCGCGTTTGCATTTAATTATCCATTTTAGTGGCAGATTATTATTTTTTTTCATTGGAGATGAAATCCGGATGGGTTTAAAGGACGCTCCTCCGAGCAGAGCTCGTGCACAATGGGCTGTAATGATGTATTCAGAGCTGCTATGCTTTGTCTATCCTTGTTAAGTACCCTGAGAATGCAGACTGGCACTGAGGGAATTTAATGTGACACATAAAAATAAGGAGCACTAGAGGAAGCCGTGATTCTGAGTGTTTAACTAGCTTGGAGCCTCGCTGCATGGCAAGCAGTTTTGCTTAGATGGGCACTGGAAAGGGGCAGCCTGGAGAGGTCATGGGGCACGCTGGCACAGCAAGGGCGAACGGAGGCCACGCCGTGCCCACTGACTCCATGGGGCCGGTGGCTGCTGTGTGTATGCAGCGCTCTGCTGCTCCCCGGCCACCCGCTGGTTTAATTTGCTACTGTCATTTGCTAAATAATTGTTTCTCTGCAGTCTGGCCTCCGAGGGCAGCACCATTGCTTCGGGCAGCTCTTAGCGCAGCGTTAATTCTATGGTTCTCCTGGCACTTATCTCAGCGGAGCAGCGGTTCTTTGGGGGCAGAGCTCTGATGCTGCACTTAAAGCAGGTGGGACTGAGCGAGGTGGACGTGCTGAGCAGCTACAGACAGTGCAGCGTGGCGAGGAATTCCAAACGCTTGCTGCCCTTTGAAGAGGTGCATGTCCTGCTCAGTCCCTTTCTGGAGCCCTGGCTGCTCCGCGTGCCCTTGCAGCAGCGTAGCGCCCCACAGCTGATTTTAATGAGGTTCCTCTTATAAAACCAAAATATGGAGCAGCAGAGCGCTGCCAGCTCAGCCCTTCTCCTGCTCCTCTCCTGGGACGCAGTGCAGGGAGGGCCCGGCTGGGTCCCAGTGCGGTGCTGAGCTCGTTGGCTGCAGTGCTGAGAGCTGAGGGGAGCTGAGCCCAGCCCAGGTATGGCGGTGGGAGGGGGGGTGAGGTGGGCTGCAGCAGCGTGTGGTGCTTCTGGGGTGGGCTGCTGCCAGTAGTGGGGAAAGGAGGAGAAATGTGACTTTCAGATGCTCACCTGGAAAGAAATCGCGTTTTCTCAGGGCCCAGGAGGGAGGATAAGCGGAGTCCAGTGCCCCTACTAGGCTCAGTGTATGGGGCAGGGCTGGGTGTTACTCTGGCCGTTGAGGAATGGCATTGTTGGCAGCATTCAAAGCTTTGGTGGTGGGGAGGCTGCTTTAGTGATGGCCTGGGACCCCCCTGGCTGGATGAGGATGCCTGCAGCGTGCTGTGCTGGGATACAGCCACGCTCTGCCGTGCCGCGCATTGGTAGCACGGCTCCATTGTGCCCCGTGTTGGTCTGTGGGACTGAGCTCTGTCCATGGCCTCCTCCTCCCAGGCAGCCCCGGGGCTGCAGGGGATCTGAGGGGCAGCTGCTGCCCTGTGTGTGGGCTCTGCCCCCTTACGCACCTTCCTGTCCCCGCAGGGCTGTAATGTCATGGAGGACCAGGACCTTCGGGACATTGGAATCGGAGACCCGCAGCACCGCCGGAAGCTCCTGCAGGCAGCTCGCTCCCTGCCAAAGGTGAGCAGGGCCAGGGCACTGCCCAGGATGGCTGTGAGACAGAGGAAAAAAAGGCTGAGCACGGTGCTAATTGCAGACACTGTATGCTTTGGGATCCCTGCCCCCTGTGGCTTTAACCCCTCTCTGCTTTCTGCTTTTGTAGCTGAAGCCCCTGGGCTGTGATGGGAACAGCCAGCCGTCCGTCCCTGCCTGGCTCGACTCCTTGGGGCTGCAGGATTACATCCAGTCCTTCCTCTCGAGCGGCTACAGCTCTATTGACACTGTGAAAAACCTCTGGGAGCTTGAAATAGTCAATGTGAGTGTTGTTTGCCTGTCCCCACAGTGCTGGGGTCCTGCCTGCATTCCCTGCAGGGAGCAGTGCTAAATGCAAACAGACTGCTGGAATGGGGATGCTTTGCTTTGTGCAGAGGGCAGAGAAGCAGCCCCTCTTGGCCCCTCATATCCAGAGATGGGCAACAGAGCTGAGGGGCCTGGAGCACAGAGGGGTCTTATGGGGAGCAGCTGAGGGAGCTGGGATGGCTGAGCCTGGAGAAGAGGAGCTCAGAGGTGACTTCATGTCCTGAAGGGAGCTTGTGGTGAGGTGGGGGTTGGCCTCTGCAATGGGACAGGAGGTGATGGCCTCACATGGGGCCATTACCTGGGGAGGAGCAGGCTAGGTATGAGGAAGCCTTTCTTCCCTGAAAGAGCCGTGCTGCCCAGACTGCAGGGAATGGTGGGTCACCATCCCTGGAGGGATTCAGGAAATGTGGAGATTTTGGTTAGTAGGGACAGGTTGGGGTTGGACTTGGTGAGCTAAGCCTTAATGACCAGCCTTAATGACCCCATGGTGCCCCAGGAACTGCAGGTCCTGCCTTCTACAAACCACTGTGCAGCTCCCCTGCGCTGGCACAAGTTCTCTTTCTCAGCGTTGTCTCCCCCACAGGTGCTGAAGGTGAACCTGTTGGGCCATCGGAAGAGGATCATCGCCTCGCTGGCTGACCGGCCCTATGAGGAACCCCCAGCAAAGCCACCACGCTTCTCACAGCTGAGAGTGAGTCCATGCAGTGTCCCTGCTGCCCACAGTGTCTGTTCAGAGCATTCAGTGGTAGCTGTGTTCTGCCTCTGTTGACTCCACATCCCCCCCTTTCATTCAAAGAATGAATTCCAGGTCTGCCTGGTTCACTCATCTCCTTCTGGTTGGTAGCTGACGGCCCTGGGGGACGCAGAGCCCTGCAGAGTGCTTGTACTGATGGCTTTAGGGCGGGTGTCCAGCAGGGAGTGGGGCACAGTCAGCATTACTCTGCTTCTTTTGTGCCCAGGAAATTCTGCCTAGCAAAATCAGGAAGAAAGATAAAAACCCTACCATGTCAATATTTAAGTTAAAAGTCCTTTGAAAGTAGGTGTTGGGAGTAATGAGTGCAGAGAGTGATCTTTGGAAATAGTATTGCTTCTTTTTTTTTAAAAAAAAAGAGAGGAAAAAAAGCTTGTTTCTTATTAGAACAAATGGCTTTGACCTGGTAGTTGGGGTCAGTGCAGGCTCTCAGGTACTTGGTGGCCTGGGAAGAGAGTGCTGGGAGAGTTGAAGCGATCGCACATCTGGTGTGTGGAGGAGGAATGGTTCTGCAGGTCCCACATTGGCTGCTGCTGGCGGTGATGCAGAGCTCAGGGCTTCCACTCTGAATACAGTGAAGCAGAACTCGGGCAATCTGCAGCCTGCCTGGCTCTGGCTTGGCCAGCACTGACCTCATGTGTGCTTCTTCCTCATCTCTGCTGCTTTACATCATGAGTGCCCACAGCAGAAAAACCTCACAGTTGCAGGAAAAGTCCCCTCATATCCACACAGCTGCGACTCCAGAGCACTTGGGCAGAGCTGCAACAAATTACAGTATTGCTGAGCTCTGGCTGAACCACACAGCAGCAAATATTCCCCTTTGCCAGGACTGATGTACTCCAGCCAAAGCAGCAGATGAATTTTGGGGCAGGGGAGCCATAGGATGCCAGACACTCGGTGCTGGGGGTGGCTGAGAGGGGAGCGCTCAGAATTGCCATTCTTCCTACAAAGCTGCCACCTGGGAGCAAAAAGTGAGGATTTGTGCTGCTGCACACAGAGCCTGGGGGCCAGGAGGGGACAACCCTGCAGCTTCACCCCAGTGCTCCGACCACAAGTGCGCAGGTGGGAGGGAGGCAGCTCCTCCCAAACATCCTCTTGAGATGATGGGGCTGAAGGCAGAGCGATGGCGAGGAGAGGAGCTCTTTGTGTAGCCTCAGCTGATTGATATGCTGGCTGGGGGGGCGGGCTGGAAAAGAGAATGGGCCATTTCCAAAGCTTCCTGGTGCTGCAGCTGGTGCGTTCCAGCGCCCGGCTCTGGCTGGGGAGCGGAAGGACGTCAATGGCAAATTAAGCAAGTCCTCTGAATAGGGCTGATGCGTGCTGCAGCTGTGAGCTCCGTGTGTTGCCTGCTTGGCACGTCCAGGCAGTGAGCGTTGCCTGCGGGAGGAGCCCTGCTGTCAGGCATCTGGGCTGAGCTGACGCTGGGCAGCCGGGTGCTCAGCTCCAGAAGGGGCAGCTCGATGCTCCGGAGCCCGTTGTGCTGCGTGCCTGCTGCCCTCCTCAGACAGGGCAGGACAAGGCAGACACCTGCCCAAAACGGTCCTGGAGCAAAGCAGGGGCATTGAGTGGGAAATAAATGAGGTGAATGAAGGCAGTGAGCCTGAAGGCTGCAGGGCGGGAGCTGATCCTGATTGCTCAGCTTATTGCACCTTTGTTGGGTGTTGGGAGGAGCAGCCTGCAGTGCCAGCTCCTGGTGTTCCTAGGGAGAAATAATCCCAGCCAGAAACAGAGGCACAGGTTTGTGTGTGGCCACTTCTTCCCTTCCTCACACCTTGAGCAACTGCCTCATCACCTCTGCATCCTGTGTGCGGTGCTGGAGGGTGGCAGCAGCCTCTGAGCAGGGCTGGCAGAGCCAGAGGGGCACAGTGCACGCAGGGCTGTGGCACCGGCTAACCAGGATGGTTCTTGGTGGCACCAGCTAACCAGGGTGGTTGTTGGTGTCTGCCTGTTCCAGTGCCAGGACTTGATGTCCCAGACGTCGTCACCTCTGAGCCAGAACGACTCCTGCACAGGCAGATCTGCTGATCTCCTGCTGCCCTCCGGGGACTCTGGGAAGAGGCAACACGAGCGTGGCAGCGAGCTGGCGACGTACTCCAAAGTTGAGCGCTACAAAGCACAGGTCAGTGGGTGCTGCTGTGCATCCTGTGGGCCCCTCTGCATGGCTCAGTGCATCACCCCCTAATTGAGGAGTCGAGGCTTCAAAAACTAGGAGCTGATGCCAGCAAGTTGCTTGTGCCTAGCTCGCCTTAAAAACGGTGACTTGCACATGCACTGCAGTGTCGCTTTCACCCCTCCCAGCCCCTTAGAGGTCTGCCCACTGCAAATCTCAATTGCATCAACCCACAAAGCCCTGCTAAGATCTGTGCTGCACCCTGTCATGGACCCGCTTCCTTCACACCTGCATTCCTTCCCCTTCCAGGAGGATCGTCGGGAGTCAAAGCTGACCCTGCGCCCCCCCAGCCTGGCTGCCCCCTACGCACCGGTCCAAAACTGGCAGCACCAGCCAGAGAAGCTCATCTTTGAGTCCTGCGGGTACGAGGCCAACGTAAGTGGCTTTTGGCTTCTGCAGCTGGGGAGGGGGAGGAGGCTCTGGGTGTTGCACGTGGAGGTGTCACAGTCCTCCCTGCTCCGTGGGTGACTTGTCTCCCTGCAGCCACAGCTCTTGTGTTGTGGTGCTGCTTTGGGGTTGGAAGGTTTCCAGCCTGAATGAAGCCTTCAGGTTGTCAGTGCTAACACATCCCCTTTTCCAAACAGTACCTGGGCTCCATGCTGATCAAGGACCTCCGAGGTACAGAATCAACGCAGGATGCCTGTGCCAAGATGAGGGTATGGAGCCCAGGGGACAGTCACAGCTGTGTGGGTGACATGGGGCAGGACGGGGGATGCTGGTGTAGCTGCAGTTCCCCACACCCTGCAGACAGGGCAGCGCGGGGAGCCACTATCACTGCCGAGCTGATCTCCCACCAGCACTTTTCCCTGTAGTTTGAATGTCTGTGCAGTGAGAAAACAGATGATTTCTCTGGGATAAAAGGTTTAACTTCAGGTCCCCGTCCCTTTCTGTCTGCTTCCATTAGAAGCAGGTTTTCTTTCTTCTCATCCAGGCCCTCAAAAGCCTGATGTTATAGGGCTGAGGGTCTTTCCTGGCCACTAGCAGGGCTGGGGATGGTGAGGAAAGGAGCACTGATTCACAGCTGAGTGTTCTTGTTTCTAAAGAAATCCACAGAGCATATGAAGAAAATCCCGACCATAATACTGTCCATCACATACAAGGGAGTGAAGTTCATCGATGCCTCTAACAAGGTGAGCTTGAAGTGCCTCAAAACCGGTGTCTGGAGGGACGTGGCCTGCAGTGCCACCTGCTTGAGGGGCTGCAGATCATATCTGGCAGCTCCAGAAGCCCTGGCTGGGTGTTGTGTAGCTGCTGGGAGCCGTGGGGAGAGCACCAGGGTGACGATGGCTGTCTGAATGATGTAGGCTTGGCACGTGGGCTGCTTGTGTTGCCGTTTGTTCCTACCATGGGACAGAGCTGAGACTGGCCTGGTTGGGAGAAACTCCTTCTGCCAGTCTCTGTTGTGCTCCCTGTCCCCAGTACACATTTGGAACTGCTGTTGTTTGCTGAGTGTGTTGTTGTCCCCAGAAGGGTGATGAGTACTTGTGGTTGTCTCCTACAGAATGTCATTGCTGAGCATGAGATCCGTAACATCTCCTGTGCTGCCCAGGACCCTGAGGATCTCTGCACGTTTGCCTACATCACCAAGGACCTGCAGACCAGCCACCACTACTGCCACGTCTTCAGCACCGTGGATGTGGTGAGTGGGATGGGGCTGCAGCTGAGGGTGTTGGGGCTGCATGAGAGGTCTCTCTTTGCTGTTTCTGTCCTAGAAGATTCCCTTAGGAGTCCGGCCACAAAATGCATTTACTTTGCAACTCTGTTGTCAAAGAGAATATTTGTCAGCCTTCATTACTGCCATTTCCAGTGCTGAATAAACCAGGGCAGGAGATTTTCCCTCTTGGGGAATATTCCGTGAACAAAACCCTGATACGCTTTCAATTATGAGCAGTGTAATAGGCTGATCTAACAGCCTTTTAATTCACTGAGAGTGTGACGGCGTTGCTCGCTTTTATTCCTGGACAGACTCAGCTTTGCAAAACATTTGGGCTCTTTCTCTTTACAATGCCAGACGGGTTGGAGCAGCCCATAGGTGGTCCTGGCTGCTGCGCGTGGGGGCTCTGTGCGATGCGAGGCAGCTCCCGTGCACTAACAGCTCTGTGTTCCCTGCATTCTCTCTGAAGAACCTGACTTACGAGATCATCCTCACCCTGGGGCAGGCGTTCGAGGTCGCCTACCAGCTGGCCCTCCAAGCCCAGAGAGCGAAACCTCTGGGTGCTGCTGCGGGAGAAACGATCGAAACAAAATCTTCCAAACCGGTGCCTAAACCACGAGCTGGAGTGAGGAAATCCGCAGTACGTACATGGAGCTGGGGCTGGAGCTGGGCTTCCTCTCGGACACAACTTGCTTAAAGCTCCCCCTTCGTGGTGCAGAAGTCCCCATGGCCTGTAGCATCAGGCACTGCTGGTGCTGCAGTGCCCGTGGCTCTGCTTGCTGGCAGGCTTGCTGCATGCCTGGCTTCCCCTGTGGGGCAGGACAGGCAGAGGGGATGTAGCCTGGGTTGGGGGGTTGGATGCCCTGCTGGATCCAGCTCCGTTTCCACGTGCAAAGATCAGTGGGTAACCTGCAGTTTGCAGCTTGGTAGTGCCAGCTAAACCGAGCCTGACTTGGAGCTGCTGAGGAGCAGGGACTGCTGCATAAGCCATTGCTTTCCTTTAATGTCTCCTTTTGTCTGTGTTCTGCTTGCTCCCCCCGCTCAGGTGCCGCTCCCTCCCGACACCCGCTGTTGTTACTGTCACACCTGTACAACTCACCGCCCCTCCTACCTGCCGCTGCAGTCTGTTAGTCCTGGAGCTAAGGTCTTTACCTTCTTCCTGCCATCTTCCATCACCAACCGACCTGGGCTGCTGCCCCGGCTGCCACCGCTCCCCACACCTCCCACCATGGCCCCGTGTCCTCGCTGCTGCCCTCCCCCACCTCATCCCAGGGCTCAAATGAACCCCAGGGATGCACTGGTCCCAGCTGCTGCTAACGCAGAGCGGCAGCTCCCAGCTAACTGTGCTGCTCTTCCTGGTGTTGTTAACCTTCCCCTGGGATCCTGATTGAGGAGGACAGGATGAAAAAGCATTGCTTGGTCAGAGAGAGCTCACCTGCCAGGAGCCGTCTCCTCTCCTCTTATTTTTGTAGTGCCATCTCTGTAGCGCTGAATTTTTCATGCTTGTCTGTGAAATGAGGTGAAGCTGTCGCTGATGGTAATGGGGGCTTGCAGGCCTAGCTCAGGAAGTCATCCCAGGGTGCTGGGCTGAGAGCGACGTGCTTAGAAATGTTTGAGATGTGAAGGACTCAAACGCCTCGGCAGTGAGAGCTGCAGCCCTGCACGCATACATGGTCTGGGGATGGGCATCAGCAGCCTCTCTGTGCTCCGAGTTCCCATTTGCTCTGCCCCAGACTCGGGTTCCCACAGGCACATATAAGCTAATGCACTCTTCTCTCCTTCGTTTCCAGCTGGAGCCCCCTGAAATGGACCAAGATTCCCAGTCTCATGCCAGTGTCTCGTGGGTCGTGGACCCCAAACAGGACTCCAAGCGGACCCTCAGCACTAAGTATGAGACCACTATCTTCTAAAGCAAACAAACCCTGTGTCCACCTATAGTCTAACCGTGCCTTTGCGATCTGATCTGTCTGCTGTTCTAAACTCCCTCTTCCTCCAGCTGCTCGCACTGAGCCCCGCGTAGGCACTACGTCAAAGGCAGCAGCACTTAAGAGACTGTAGACTTAAACGGCTTTTGTACCTGATCACTGCTGAACACTGTGAATTCTCCTTACTCGGAAACAAGGGTAACACGCTGTTAGATCCCCATCAGGTGGGAGGTGCAGAGGGGTGCAGGCTGGGGGCATCCGAGACGCGGAGCCAGGAAGCTGCCCTCCATTTTCACGTCTTTCCCCTCGCTCTGGCACTGTGACTCCCTGGGGTGACATGGCACTCCCCCAGGCCTTTTTTTCTATTTCACCTTCTTATCCTCGGACTGATGGAGACCTCTTGTCTCTGCGGTGCACGCACTCCCTCCTTCTAGCTCCTCTACTTCCCGACCGAGCCACGGCTGCACACTGTTCCAGTGAAGTCACCCCTCTCCTTACTGTCACTTGAATCAACACTAACCACTGTGATGCTGTCTGCAAATAACACCTTCACTAGATTTCCTCACAGGGACCCCGCTCACAGCCTCTCTCCTCGAAGCATGGAGCAGAACAGCTGCTCTGCTGGGGGCACAGCCTTGGGCTGGGTGCCACTGTTCCCACTGTGAGCTCGGGCCCTTCTTGGGGCCGTGAGTGTCCTGCAGGAGCTGTGTGGCTGTGTGCATTTCCGTCCCTTTTAGGGCTTACCCCCATAGTCCTGGTGTTCTTGCTCACCAGACCACTGTGAGCTCTGGGTGCAGTTCTCACTTTGCAGATTGCGAAGAGGTCAGGCACTGAAAGGCTCATGCTGCTGGGAAGGAGCCGTGGTTGAGCCGTGCTGTCGGGGTGCAGCAGGCAGAGCTGTGCTGTGCTCTGTGCATTTCCTGCGGTTTCACATCTTTGCCAAAGGGAGGGATGTGATTGAAATCAGTCTGCTGCTGACCCAAAGCCTATTTTTCAGTCTATAAAACATTGCACGATGAGAGCTATAGGGATCTTGAAACATCTGTTGCCTTTCATCCGTGAGAGCAAGGATTTTGGTTAGAAATGGCCATGTGTCAGCGGGCACCTTGGCCTTCCTGGCTCTTTCCCAAGTGCACATGTTTTTCTCTGGGAGAACGTCCCCATTTCTGTGTGTCTTGGTAGAAGCTGCTTTTGGCTCCAGGATATGGGCTGGAAATTGTTTGCATGGGATGCAGGGCATTCAGCACAGTCAGAGTGGAGCTGGGCAGCCCACATAGCTGCCCACACAGACTGTCGTGGGTCTGTCTCCATTTCCTTCTCTTGCATTTGCAAAGCTGAGAAATTAAGCAGAGGAGGAAGAGGATGGGGATGGTTCAGTAGCTGCCAGCACTGGAAAGCAGGGCTCCAGCCCAGTACTGCTTCTCCCCAACTTGCTGTGTCCCAACTACTGAGCCTCTCTCTGCCTCAGTTTCCTTATTTTCAGGATGGGGACACACATAGCTACCTCTCAGGGGGTGAGGCTCTCTCTATCCCCACAGCTGCTTGAGGGCCCTTTAGTGAAAAGCATTGCAACTTCCACACAGTGGCAGCAAACCCACTGTGCTCCGCTTTGCTCTCCAGCAGAGTATGGAGCTCTCAGACCCGGAGCAATGCTCACATCCCAGCTCCTTGTGGGCAGCGGCTGCCAAACCTTTCCCAGGGAGGGGCTGAGCAGATGGGGCAGCTGAAGGTGAGCTGTAGCTCACTGTGTGCCTCAGTGCGGGCTTTGCATCTCTGCCGCATCCCCCACAGCCCAGGTTTGGTGAGCTGGTGGTGACAGTGAGTGTGTTAGAAGGTAAGGGGACGGCACTTCTCACTCAGCTGTGTGGCACATCTGCGTGGGCATGGTGTGTGTGTGTGGACATGGTGCACTCAGGGCTCTGGTGATGCTCTGCTTGCAAAATAGTTTTTTAGATTTCACCCCAAATCTCTCTTTGTGATCACCATCAGAAATAAACGGTCAGATCAGCAACCCTGAGTTGCTGACACCTGTTACGTGGGCATGTTTGTTCTCATTCCTCAGTTCCACTGAGGCCTTTGGGCTTCTGTTCCCCAGCCCTGTGGTGAAATCAGATGTTTCAACATCTTTATTGAGCTCTTCCTCAGGAATGGGTTTGATCTTTCAAATCCTTCGTGGCTTAATGGCATTGAGTGGCAAACTGACTTCAAAACAAGGGCCAGGCTGGTAGGAATCCAAATGAGAGGACTCGAGGGATTGCCTTAAAGCAAGGGAAGCAAAGCCCAGCCGTGTACGTGCAATTCACGTGTCAGGAAGCCCTTAACACAGAGCCAGTGGTCACACTGCCCTGCCCAGAACGCTGCAGTGTCTGCGGAGCTCCGGGGTTTGGGTTGGATGCTCAGTGCCTTTCCAAGCCGTAAGAGTGCCCTGAGGCATTTATATCCTTTGGAGAGAAGCTGAGTTCGTGATAGCAATGGTAGTTTGGATTTACCGTGCAGCTGCCCACACGTGTGCCTGCTCCTCGAGGGTCTGAGCTCTGCACTCCCCCTGCTTGCAGCTGGGATCTGTCGGTTCCTCCTGACGCCGGCTCACTGGTGCACGTGCCTTCCTGAGGGTGACCCTACCCCGGCCGGGGTGGCAGGCAGCCCTGCCTAACTGCAAAGCTTCCTCTGCGTCCATAACCTCACGGTTGTCTCATCTCCTGGCTGCACGCCTCGTCTTTCCCGGCACTTGTGTTTGTATGACTCGGAAATCATTCATTCCATTGTCTTCCTTTCTGTTTGCCTCTGAAAAGCTGAGCTCCGGGCAGCTGTCTCCTACCACGGAAATGTAGTAACGGGGCAGAGACCTAAGAAGCAGTGGCCTGCTGACACGAAGACCGTCTCCATCTGGCACTGGTGTCTGCCTGTGAGGGTGTGCATGGCTGCTCAGTGAGGGCTCCCAAAGCAGAGGGGGAAAGGGATCCCAGCCACCAGCTGAGAAAAGCAGCTCTCCATTTCTAGCAAAGGAAAGTTGAGACTTCCGAGGCCGAGCGATGTCACGTTTTCTAGTCTGAGACAAACTGCTTTCAGCCCGTTTCTTTCACACGTGAAATGATACAGAGCAAATCCAGTTCACAGTCTAAATGTAGCACTGCAGTGGTTTTTTGGTTTTTTTTGTGTGTGGTTTTTTTTTTTGGTGAGGGGAAAAAAAAGAAATGATTCACTGAGAATCTGCACAGTCCAGCAAGGAGTACAATGGAAAGTCTTACCGGTGGGATGGTGTGTGCATCTCTTATGGTACTTAAATCTGCTTCAATTCTGGGTGAACAGTAGAGAAACGCCAAATTCTTGGAAATAACTTCCTCCAGTGTGAGAAGCCTTGCAGGGTAAGTCTGCATCCTTTCTTTTCAAAGCCACTCCATGCTTTTATAGCCAATGGAAATCACTTAAGGAAAAGTCTGCGAAGGATCTCTCACCTCAGAGTGGCTGTGGCCAAGCGTTTACTGATGGTACAAAGCTTGCTTCCCTACGGAGAACTGTTGCATTGCAATACTTGACATTTCTATGGCAAGGACACAACTTCTTCCCATTTACGCACTGAATACCTGGAGAGGAGTCCCTTCTCCAGCCTCTTGTGCACCTGTCTTGTTTTTTAAATGCAGTTATGCCCTGACGGGTTGGGTGTTGTTTTTAATTTTTAAGCTTATTCAATTGTGATTTAGCACTTTTTTTTTAATACTAGCTCATTATTTAATAAGTGCAACGATTTTGGAAGACGAACAAAAGAGGAGTTACATTTTGGGCATTCCGCTGGCACAGTCCATAGCCGAGGATGCATCATAAGTCCTATCGACCCACGGATGGCCTGGCCCCAGCAGCCCCAAACGCTGCCATCTCAGAGGTGTGCTGTCTGCTCGCTTGCTCTTTGGATCACAGCAGGGTTTACCAGCAGTTTTGGCTGCGGCCGATGTGTTTTCACAGCACCGTTCCCCTGGAGGGAAGGCTGTTAGGAGAGTTGTGATTTTTAATTCTTCCAATGCAAAAACCGTAGCGCAGCAGCTTGGTACAATCTCCGCAGGGCTGCAGTGGCTGGGGATGTGCTGCCCTGCTGCTTTGCCAGGACAAGATGCCCTAACGATGCCTGTTTAACTCCGGTTGCTGCTGTATGTCAGGATTCAGTCTCCCTAGCTGGTAGGACTAGGAGAGAAGTGAGCCGTAATCCCGAGGGCACAGGGCTGTACATGATGAGGAGGGGGAAGCGGAGATTATTTTTCTTTTTTACATGGATGAATTTAGAGAACCTAACATTCCTTGTTATGCGTATGTTGCAATTCATACTGGTGTAAGTGTAAATATTTGGTGTGTTGGCAACAAGTCTTTTTGGAGAGATTGCAAATTGAACCTCTGCTTGGGAGGAGGGACACCCTTCTGTTCTGACACATACATGAGCTTTGCGAAGGTTGGCTTGGAGGTGAAGTGGTGATGAAGACTCCAATCTTCAGGGGGCTGGACGTTGTGACCCTGGTGGTTCTTTCCAGTCCTGTGTGTAATTCCATGGTTGTCTTTAGTGATCCAGCAGTTCTTTAGCCAGATACTCTTTCTCACTTCATAGAAGCAGTTGTTCTGGCAGTGCATCTTCCCCTTTCATTTCAGTGGGGTTTTTTTGAGGTACTTGCATGCTGGAGGCTGATCCTGGGTCACCGACTCCGAGTGCTTTGTTATCCCATCCATGACGCAGTGTTTTGGCTTTTCCTCCCCACAGGGTTTCACGGTATCTGGAGGAAAGTGCTCTGCATTTCTGGTGCTGGTTAGAATCTAAATGCACTCACTGCCTGCCTGGGACAGGCGGTGCAGCCCTGGGTTTTGTGTTTTACAGACTTCCAGTTGGACACAGCATGAGTCCAGGCTGAGAACTCAAGGTAGATCAACTGTGTTTGTCTTTTTTTTTTTTTTCAGTAGAGGAGGGGATGAGTTTTTATTTTCTAAATTGAAGCTGCTTTATCCTTTTTAATTTTGTATTTACAAAAAAAAAAAAAAAAGAAAAAAAAAAAAGAAAAAGAAAGGAGAACAAAAAAGAAGAAGCTAATTGTAGCTGTTTGAACTTGCTTTGGGATTTTTCTTTTTAGGAGAAAAAACTGATGCAGTTTTGGTGGGGTATGTGCCTGTTGCCTGTTTCCCTCCTGGGGAGAAGGCAGGACACCGTACAGGACTTGCCTCCAATGAAATGTGAGGTACCATCACAGGGCTGCTGTGAGACACAGACCAGATGCCAAATAGTACTTCCAAACAACTGCTCTGTGTGCAGCTGATGTGGGTTTAATTGCTTTAATGCTCCTTCCACCCCACTTCAGAAGCTTCTAGCAGCAGAACTTCCTCCGGCTTTCTTCTGCTTGCATCATTTCCATGCAATCAGATCTTTATTTTAGAGTGAGCACAGAGTTTGCGACGCTGTCTTGTTGCAAAAAGTCTCCCTTTTAGGTCTCATATTGGCATTACCTACTGCATTTTAATTTAATTTAATTTTTTCTTTTTCAAAAGGAAGTACATGTGCTGCTCCTACCAAGTAGATCTAGCTCAAACACTTTTCTTACCCGTGGAAGAATAACCTGAGATTCCCTAACAGGGCAGAGACCAGTCGAGTTCAGTTTGCAATGTAGACATTTTTGCTAATTGTGATGTATGACAGTGGGACTGATTTGTAATACAAATGTTATTTAATCTGTCTGTATTTTGATACTTGAATTTCCTTTTATTTCCTGTATATACAATTGTTAATCTGTTCGAATTTGTCTGAATTTTAAACATCTTGTGGTACCAAACGTAACCAATCTGTGCAACAACATAGACTGACCTCACTACAACAAGGCGAGATTGTAAATATTCCTGGGCTTCCAGCAGTCGTTTTGTTGTTTTCATAATTGTACAACTTAGAACAGACTGAATTAATAAACAAACTTAGACACACGTTTGCCCTGTCGTCACTGTGACCTGAGTGACACAGCAGCCTCTGGTCATCTCATGCCTGTGCTGAGCTGCCAAAGCAGGTAAGAGGAAGGGGTGAGGGTGGGCAGCACAGTGACTTGAATGAGGGCAGCCTGGTGCTGCACGTGTGGTGTTTTGCTTTGTAAAGCTGAGGAACAAGAAAACATCAAGAGTGTCAAAGCACTGCGTGGGGATGATTTGCTGGTATTGTGGAAGCAGAGCACAGGATGCTGTTCTGTTGGGAACAGGCCTGATGTCATTCCTTGGCAGCAGAATCAGGATGTGTGCCATCCTAACGTGTGTGGCATGCTGGATGCAGAACGCTGGCTGCTCAGCAGTCGCTTTGGCTGAGGCTGCTCTTTTTGCAGCTAATCATACTGATCCCGAATACAAAATTCTTTTCAGACTAATTTATGTGTAAAAACTCATCTGTGTGTTCTTTAAAGATAGACTCACCTACAGCGTGATGGTCTGCTGTCACTTTGCCCATGGGAAAGCTGATGTTGACCCCTTTTAACGTACATCTGCGAGGACTGTTCTACTGAGGGTGGCAGGACCCTGATTGAGCAATGATAAACACTGAAACCAATGCTCTGCAGCACAGCAGCCATCGATTCATGTAACAACAGAAACAGTTTGGGCAGCCATTGTATATAGTATTTACCAGCAAAGATTTTTGGCATACCAAGAAGTAGGACGTTTTCACTATATAAAATTAGAGCAAGAAATCCAGGCATTTAAATACAGGTTAAAGTTCAGGGTTTTGTGTCAAATAAAATCTGGCTGATGTGAAATACTAAATACATTGGGGGCTGCTAAATTTATACCATATGTTCCATCTAATAATTCAGTAAGTCAGGTTTTCAAGCTAACACTGAAATATATTGAGCAGTTTTAATGATCTTAAATACCATATGGCTTTATCAAATCCAAACTGCGTCCCTGGGCTGTGCCTAACATTTCAGCAGAGCAGGCTGCAGACCCACCGCAGAATTAACACCTTGAATTAGGGAAAAAAGAAAGAAAGAACCTTAAATTTCATTGCAGTTTTATCATCTCCACCTCCCATTTCTTTCCCTGCTAAATAGTGACAGTTTTGGAGGGGGACAAGAAAGCCGTTGCCTTTTGCAGTTGAGAGGTTTATTCAGATACTGACATGCTGAGAGTCACTTCCCAGTAGCTGTGCTGCCCAGATGGGTTTGTCTGATGTTTTTTTTACAAGCTGAAGCATGATTTGAGAAATTGTTGGAGAATGCAATCCACCCTTGTCCTCCTGTGTGGTACGTAGTAAGGATGATCACATAGAACCTCTTCCTGAATCTGGTTCTGCCTCTGGGAAAAGCACTCTCTTGAGAACTGCGGAGTAGAAAGGGCCAAACAGCTGCCTGTTGTGGAAGGTCACAGTTCTGAACCTGCGCCCGACTTCCTGCAGCTCTTCCTGAATGGCATCGAGACCCTTTGGGAAATCTTTCTGAGAATTTTGTCCATCGAGGGCAACAAAAAGGCTGAGGAACAGGTGAATCTGCTGCTCTGTAAGGAGCGAGTAGGAAATCAGACATCAGCCTTTGTGCAGAACGTTGGCCTCGAGACAAAGGGTTCTTGTGCAGTGAGGAGCAGAGCTGAGGGCAGGGTGCCGTGGAGCTGTACTGCTCCAGATGGGCTCGGGGCACAGTGAATTAAGGTGGTGTTCTTCCAAGAACTAAGATGAGACAGCATTCAGCATAGGAATGGGTAAAACTACTCCAAGCATCATGTTTGTGCGTATGATGTACATACGTGCCTTGTTTTCCCTTTGTCCTGGGCAGCTGCTTTTAACAGTGGCTGTAGCTGGGATGCTGGGCTGCCAGACATTAGGTTTGATGAATTTGGCTGTGCTGAAGTGGAGCAGCTCAACAGTATAATTTTTTTTTTTTTGCCCACTCTGTGAGTTTTTGAACAGAACTGAAATGTTAGGCATCTTAGGAGCATAATGGAATATAGAACTTCAGAGCCTGGGATTTATCTGGACTGCCACAGCAGCATTTAAAAATTGAAAGAATTCAGGAAGCCTCTCGGAGGAGCACAGAGCTGAGGTTAACTCCCCAGCTATCTCAGATGTTCTTGTGTTTCAAATATGTATTTGGGAAGTGCTGATAGTGGACAAAGAGTGCAGACAAGACGTTGATTTTTAGACACAGCAAGGGGAAGACTGGCTCTGTAGCTTCTAATGCTGCTCCATCAGTGAGCCATTGCCATCACATCCTGCCCAGCCTGTGGTACAGCGAGGTTGGCTTAGGCTATTAATTCAGCTTCCTGAATTCCTTCAAAACAAAATAGCCTGCTGGGTCTGACATGCAAGGAATAAACCAGGTAATGTGGACTCGGGTGGGCTGAGGAGGAAAGGCGATACACTGGGCAGGAAGAGCTTCACCTTATTTTCATAGCTGAGAAAAGATAAGTCTTGCATGTGAAAATAATCTTTCCTGTAGTGAACTATCTGCCCATGGCACTGCAATCTGATGTGGAGCTTTCAGAGTACTAATAAAAGGTCAAAATAATCAGCTCTCATCAAAATCATTTGAGTAAATATTTTGATGGGGCAGCATTATAGGGGAAGCTAGTTAGCTGAATACCATGCAGTGCACTCCCTAGGGATAGATATTACTTAAAGATCTTAGCATGGTGCTTTACTTGAGTCAGTGATTAAGCTCTCTCTCTACATCCTAGCCTGAAGATTGCCACATCACCTGTGACAGACCTGGCACTTGGGCCTGTTTAGCTTTTAGCGAGGATGGTAGGATTTAAGAGATTTTCAAAGCAATTACTGCAAGGCAGCCAGAGTGGAATGGGAAAATCAGGGCAGTTTCTGGCTTCCTTGCTTCTGCAGTAGTTCTGCACAGTGTAGGGAATTTGCCTTGCTGTCACCTATCTTACACTTGTCCTGCACGTTCGAGGGTCAAAGGCTAAGAGTAGAAGACCTCTTTACTCTTAGTGCTGAGTCAGACATGAGCTCAGGAGCTCACTGATGGTGCGCCGGACTGCGTTGCCCTTGTCAGCAATGCTTTTTATCTGGCCTTTCAGGGATGTACATTTCTCACTGGCAAAAGCAGAGTAACCCAGCTGTGAGAGTGTTCTGCTGACTTCCTGGAGCACTTGATCACTGATGTCTTGCAAAGCTTCTTCATACCTAAATGATGCAAAAGCCCATGCACTTGAGCATATTTGTTGGGAAAGAGGTCTTGCAAGCCAGGAATTCTCTCCATGAGCCTTTTTGTCCTCAGCACGGACAGGAAGCACATAAGAACCAATGCTGAGCCACAGCTGTGGTGCCTAACACAAGTGAATTAAGCGTCCTTTCTTTCCCTGCTCTTTGGCAAACAGGAGAAAGCCCTGCACTGCTGATTTTCCCCATTAACCATGAAGGGACAATGGCTCTAGAGAGTTAGCTCCCAGCTAAGTATGCTGCCTGGCGTTCTGGCTTCCCTCACTCCTTGCAGTGGGCCTGGCTGCTATTTGGATCTCAGGTCCTCTTCTGCTGCAAGAAGAGATTCCTGTTGCTCTTCCTACAGTCAACCAGTGCCTGCATCCTCACTCTTCTCCTTCTGGAAAATAAAATATAAAATAACCCACCTGATAGAAGACAGCCCTTCCAAGAGGGCCTTTGTTACCAGTTTCAGCCTATCAATAAACCCAGGTGAGCCAAATAAGGTGTTTCCACACACGCCACTGGTCACTAGCAGGACTGCAGCTATGATGGCAAGCTGATTCACTCGTGTTTGTACTTCCTGTAGTCGAGCCTGATCCAGAAGCAAGGTCTGTGAACAGAAAGCACACCGGCCTGTGAGCACACAGACAACATCTGTGATAACAGAGCAATTCTCAAGCCATGCAGCAGAGCTGTAAGCTCCATGAAGCTAGTGGAGAGAGGCTGATTGGCAGCAAGGACATTTAGTTTTGTGATAAATCCAACTTGTTTCACCTGGGGAACAAACTCTGTCCAATGGCATAGAAGGGACTGAGACCGTGGACAGATCTTTCTGTAGAAGCAGAACCTGTACAGTTGTTTTTGTGCATCTTAGCATCTTTTCCCTAGAAATATCCCAGTGCTTGTCCTTCCTCAGGGTATTCGCTGTGTCTGGGCTCCCAGCAGAGCAGATCCATGTAGCCTCAATTTAGCACACTGCTCCCTGGAAGCGTGCATCAGAAGAGCTGCTGGCCGCAGAGCAGGACTGAGACTGCAAAGAGGATGCAGACACTGCTGCTGCTGCTCTGCGCAGCCACTCTGTTGTGTTATCCAGGCTATCTGCAATGTGTTTTAAAACACAAAGAAACAAAAAAGGGTGTTTGCAAGAGCAGGTGGCTCAGTAAGTCAGTAAAACTAAGTCAGTAAAACTGGCTACGTGATGTTCCATGCAGAAGGGGATGTGCATCTTGGATGGTGGGGAGGACTTACTCCACCTCTGCCATGCAGTATTTAGGCACAAGGCACAAGGCTAGGCTCCTGAGACTGGGACCTGGAGAGCTTTATATTGCATAGAGGATTTCAGTCTTCAAAAAGCACCTTTAATTAAATCTCACAAGGGAGTGAGGCAGCCAGAGAGAAATATTCTATGGCCTAACAAAGAAGAGGGGTCTACATCAAATACTGGCTTTCCTCTTCAGATACACGTGCAAATGTTTTGATGATTCCTCTGTGGACCTCAAAACACTTCAAAATTCAGAGCTCTTACAGTTCCTCATGAGGTAGCTATTAGGCCTAATGCATGCAGAAACTGTAGCACACTAAGCAACTTCTTTTCTGCAAAGCATAGTAGTGAAGAGGCTGAGAAAGGGACCCCAGAGTCCTTCTGCTTTTAGAGGTATTTCTCTCAAGTTATTGAGCATGTGATGAAAGCATCAGCTTTAGAATACTCAAGTTCCTTCTTAGTGCTTTAATAGCTGCTGCAGAAGTAATAGTGCTTCTCTCCTCTTCCCCACTGACTTACTAGGAAGCATAACTAAGA